GCAACACATGTTCTCCAATTGCTGTCTCTGATGAAGATGAGATACTGCAATATATGAAGCAAGAGGCTGGGTTGTTTTTTTTTCCCCCCAAATGCCCAATTACATGCAGCATGAAATGATGTGCAGATTTTTCCTCAGTTACAGGATGTCTACTCTCTTCTGCAGCAATGTGGATGGGACAACAGAATGGTAAAAGTCATAGTTCTCTTGTCAAGAAAAGGAACATTTAAGCTCTTTCAGAGTCTTATCTACATATAATTTATCAGCTTTTTAAAAAAGCTTTTAAAACAATCAAGAAAAAATAATTAATATTTTGATCAAGAATTATGTAGTATCTAAAGAAAACTACATTGTTTTTCAGATTTAAACTGATCACCAACGTAAAAAAGTGAATTTGCCTGTTAAATTTAGTAGTTAACAAAAATTTTTTTGAAGATGACAAATAAATATGATTTGTACAGAAAACAGATCAGTATGAAATTGTTAGAACTAAAAAACATCTTTTCAGAAAGGACTAATATCTTTAAACATAAAAGGCTAAAACAAAGCTAAAAGGTCCTCTTCCACACACAGAGGAATATTAGAAATACCTGAGATTATAAGCAACTTCACACATAACACAGTAAGATATGATGCCTACATTTGATGTTACCCTAACTATATATGCTGCAAAACATTCAGGTGCGAATGCAACTTCCATTAGACACTCTTAAATATAACCAGTATAAGGAAGTTTAGGCACTAACTCCAGTAAATCTATATATATGGTCTCTACTTGAGGAGGAGAAATTTCTCACCCAGAAGGCCAGATTATCTCATTATGAAGAACACAGATCTGGTGCATTTTTCTTCCACACTCTATACATTCAACAAATCTGTAGAAGGAAAAAAAGGGGAAAGGGAAGCAATGTCAGTGGTATCATTCCTTGCTTGTACATTTTGTGTAACATTTTACTAAAGGAATTCCAGCATTTAGGCTCTTGGGCCTATTTAACACAGAAGGCATACCTATGCAGAGAACAGCCTCCAGAATAAATTAAGAAGCTGTGAGCTTAAGTCAGGCAGACTACACAGGGACATTATTATTACTGCTTACTTGCCTTACTGCTATCCACTCATTTTTTTAAAAGTGAAGCCCTGCTAAGGATAAAATCTGTAAACTGCTTGTTGCTATAATAAAGAGAGGAAAATGGATTCACAAGTGTCAGAAGAGAAGAATCAGGAGAAACAGCTGGCTGTTAGTTGCCCCATTATACTTGAAGCCTGGGGTACACTGGCAAATACACTGCAAAAAGGTGGGAAGAAAGGAAACAGAAGCAACATCAAAGTCGTGTTCAGAAAACTAGCAGAGATTTAAGGCCAACTGAGTTTGTGATATGGTCTACTTCACAGACGTTGTTGAATATAATTCTCCAAAATACCTAAGGTGGCTTCATGTATCAGAACAGTCTGACTCCTTTTGAACATGTCTACTCATAAGCGTCTGAGACTCTGAACGAATAACTGTCATTTATGTAGGGCATGTGGTATCATACTGTAAGTTATGTTTGTATTCCAGCATGAGGCTGTATCTTCACTATACCAAACAAAGAAAAAGCTATGAGTCAAGTTACTATGCTCTCCTTCCCACAGCCTTTGCAAAACAGCAAAACTGGCTGACCCACGTGCCCTTAGAAGAATGGTGTGAGAACAATATATATCTTTCTGCTCACTCATTTCAGAATGAAGGTAACATCTGCAGAGTAGCAGCACAGGTGTATTAATGCAGGAACATGTCAAGTGGCTTCAAAATAACCATCAGGATTATTAAAAAAAGCAGCTAAGTCACCATCATCTTAACTGCACTGAACATCTACAGTTCTGCTTGCAGAGCAGTCTAGAACCACCAGCTGACTGAAATTTAACAACTTTTCCTTCTACTACAGCTGCCCGTAAAATAATGACAAGTACAAAAGCCAACACCACCAAAAGAGCTACTGCCAAATGATCCAAATCAGCTCTGAAACTTGAGCATTTGCCACATCAAGGTTTCAAAGCAGAGTTATCTGGATTCATCCTTCTGTTGAATCCACATTCAAGACATCAAAATGCACTAATTTTGTCCCATACATACAGCAATGCATATTTCTCAAGTATAGTTGTGGTGGTTTGGGTTCTTGGCACAGAATGCCAGATACGCTGCTTACTGTGCAGCCATTGCCAGTTAACAGAGCTACATGAAATTTGGAAAACTCTGAAAAACAAAAGCTGATGGTGAACGAATCACATGTATTTTACAAAACAGTTATAATGAAGTGAGGATCATTCAAAATGTAACAGCATTACTTACAGTTCAGGGTCCAGTGTATCATTTTTCCTTTTTGAAAACTGTTCTTTGTTTATCGTGCTACGGAAAAACAGGCAATAAAACTCAGTTTTAACACAAGACAACATACAGTCATGCCATACCACACACATCTCCACATACCAAGACAAAACTTGCAAGCAGATTTTTTTAAACGCTCACTGTCACTACAAAGAAAGGATTTGTATTTCACAAACTGACAGATAACTGAAGTATATGCCACCCTTGACTCTGGCTGTGGAAAACATTCTTTCTATGAGACAACAGCTTGTAAGGAACCACACTGATCCCTTAATCAGTTTTACTACTGGATAAACGGTAAAACTTGCCAACATTCAAGTTTTGGACCAGTCTGATTAGTATTTCATAGTGAAAGGACTATTTGATATATCTCTGATACTATGAAGGCAGAGGATTCAAACTGTATTTGATTACTGAGAAAGGTTGGTTATCTTACTTCAGATTCCACTCTTAGATTAATTTCAAAGGATAAATTTCAGCTTCCAAACTCTACAACCCCAGCCCAGCCATTACTCTACACTATAGCTTTACCTTTCCTACAGCATTTGCAAAGTTAGAAATTCCACCTTTTTGTGAGACCTCCCTCAAGTATCACAAGATATACACCTATATCTGGTTCATAATAGTAAAGAGCAATCATATAAGAATACCCAGATCTCTGAGAATTTAACCCAAAAATAGTACTGTAAAATGCGAAATGATCAGTATGTGCCTCTCTGAGAAGCAGTGACAGAGACCAAATCCAACTTGCATCACGTGCATTAACCTTTCCACCCATTTCTTTCGGTGTTTATTCTGAATAGTGCCACCTACAGAATACTTCACACTCCTTACCAGATTGAACCTTCCTCACCAATCTCCCAATCACCTCAAACTATTATTATAATATGGTGAGTAGAACTGTAAACAGTACCTGGCACATACGTTACTGATCTTTTTTGCTTTTGTTCAACTACGGGCTGTGGGAAGAGAGGAAGGGAGCAGGAACTCTATGCCCCAGTAAAATGAGCTCCTAAGAGAAAGCCTGTAAAGCAGGTGAGAGGACACTCAAAAGTGTACTTGCTCCTCCTGCGTAGCCTATTGGCTCCATTTTCACTACTCAACACCCAAACATTTAAATCAGCTATGATAAAAGAATACCAAGAGCTGGACCTAATTATTTCCATTGCTTGTGTTCAAAGAGCTTTTGATTGCTTTTATTTATTGGGAAAAAAAATGTATCCAGTTCGCCTGTTGGCTTCACACTTTCCTAAGTTTCTCACTTGCTTCTCTGCAGTGTTCCTGCAATGCCCTCCCCCAAAGAGCTTTCCTCAATGCTTCAATGGCTCAAAGAATAACTGCTAGGCACTTATTTGTCCCTCAAGGGCTTCCTTAGCCTTCCAAATTCTGTACCAAGATTTTATTTTTTTTTCTCCTGGGCAGGTGGGGAAGGTATAGCAGAATGAAAGACTGTCCTAACAGTTTGTCATCAGCATGGAAAAGGCAACTAAATCCACGCACAGCCTTTTACCATGATCTCTTTAACAACCATATAGCACTTCTCATAAGCAGATGGCACTCCAGCAGTAAAATACGCGTATCACAAAAGGAGCTTCCCTGCTTCTAACTTGAATGAAAACAATACGTAGTTGACTATGTTTAACAGCACAGCCAGTCTATAAACAGAATAGTACATTTGACTATTTCAAACTATGTCTGTCACCTACCCACCCACAGGCATGGTTACTTTTCTACAGTACAATACTTCCACAGTTTAAAACAAAAAGCAATGATCTTTTCTCGTTATTGGTACAGCTGCAATTTTGAGCACTAAACGCTTATTTCTCACTACAGTTCAGTCAGTCTAGATTTTAAAGAAGCAAATCTATGGCACAAGCCCAGGCTTTTATGAAGAATAACTGGCCCACCTTCTACAGGCCTACTAACAGTAGGGGTTACCTAAAACAAAACTCATTCCCCTTGAGAAAGTTCTATAGGCCATGATAAGAGTTTATGAATGCACAGCGCAAGCAAACACAAATTGACTCACGTTTGAGGTTGTGATGGGTCATCTCCCAGAGAAACGCTCTCCCCTTGGATTTCGTTGAAGCACTTCTCACAGAAATGATACCTGTCAGCAAGAAGGCCATATTTGGGTGAACTGCTCCGTCCACACAACACAGCCCAAGTCAAGCAACGGAGCCACCAATCACAGCAGGCCAAGGAAGGGACAGGAGCAGAGAGCAGGTCATCAACGGCGACAAGGATATTCAATGATGCAGATTTATGGGCCCCACATTGTGTTTGGTTGGTTTGTTTTTTTGGTTTTGGGTTTGGTTTTTTTTTTGCGCAATCAAAGCCAAGTGCAGACAATGACAAGCATGAAGGAGAAATAAAAAAACAACACACACACGAACAAAGAAATGGGGATTTGCAGGACAAAAACAAAAACATAGAAGCAGGACAAGACAACACAAAGCAGAAAGCCAAGGCAAAGCACAGATTAGCATTAAATCTCTCAAATGGGTTCACAAGCAGCAAACGATTAAAGCAAATTAAACAAGAGTATTCCATTTTAGCATACCCATACCCTCTTCATTTTAATAATCCATGCTACGTACAGCAAAGAATTAAAATGAGAAAGGGGGAAGAGCAGAAGGAAGGAAGAACTGCTACTCTGACTTGCACGTCAGCACAGCAGTTCTGTTGGCAGGAGGATCTGCAGGACATCAATGGAAGAGGGACAATCTTCCATCTTAAATATATAAATGCTGAAAAGCCACAGGGTTCTCTCCCAGTTGAGAGGGCAAGCTAAACATCAGAAGCTTTAGGAACAGTAAAATCTGTCCTCAAAAAAATCTTACAGACACTACAGAAATGTCAAACTGCATGTTAACTAAATATCTAACATTAACTATACACATAATGCTCTACATTGATATGATTCTGCTATAGCCCAGTTTGAGTGCAGAACAGTCCAGGCATCAACAAAGCAAGCACTATAGAGAAAGATTTCATTTATACTCAAATAAGATAGTGATTAATTCAAGATTCTACCCCAGCCCTCAAAAATGTTCTAAAATGGTGGCCTCTCCATTAGTAAGGCATGTTAATTGAATGCACAAGACAGTAAAACTAAAAAGAAATGAAAGAAAATTCAAACAAGTTTATTATAAAGCCACGCAAACCAAGACTACAGCAGCAGCTAAGGTAAAAAGCCAGGTCTCAACCCTCTCTCTCTCCCAGGTGATGCAGAGATGTACTTCTGGAACTGTACATTTCAGTCTGTAGATACATATGCATGAGTATATATATATATATATAACATAATTTACAAGTCACATGTATGCACCTAATATAGTGCAAACATTTCCTCCTAATGTTTGAAAACATGTAAAGCATATCAGATTTTTGAGTAACAGTCTTTTGGTTCATCTATGGCCTGACATAGATAAACATAAGCAGAAGATACTGACATGAAAAGGTCTACACTAAGTCTAAAACTACAGTAGTTACTCTGGGATACTGTAAGCTTATTTTCTACTTCTTCACTCCTAAAAACCTCCATTCACTGCTATAAACCTTTATGGAGCCTAACAAGGTTAAGATTTAACTCCTGTAGCTCTTTGGTTGCTTTCACTTAATCAGTCATTTAAGAAAACCGCAACTCCTGCAAAATCTTATTGGCTTTCAGGTAAGAGTCTTAGTGTTTTTGCTGTTCTGTTTGTTTTGTTTGTTTAAGGTGTTGGAAAGAATGGAGAGCAGGAACTAAATTGATGGAGGGGACACAGTTTGGAGGTAACCAGCCCTCTACTCGAACAAATGTATTCTAGTGACAGGATAGGGAAGTGTTAAAGCCTGTACTTCCCTTCTTCCTGGCTTGCTTCCCCAATTGGAAAAGAGATGCCTAGCAAGCAACCTTTCAGAAGTAAAAGAGGCTTAAATCCTTTAATAAATCCCAAGTAAAAAAAAAAAAATATTCCAAAGAGATGCAGAAGTGACAGCGTTTTACAGAGCTGCTGACAGCTACTGCAAGACAACTCCCTCAAGGAAACTTTGGGAGAAAAAGCAAGCATCAATCTACTGAAGATCTGAAAACACAAATCTTCCAATGAAGATTTGCATCACAAAAGTAAGTTCACTCTTCAGTGTTAACATCACGAGAAAAACAAAGACTTGCCAGGTATAATATGTACTATGAGCATTAATATACTTGCTGCATAGTTTACTTGGTGTTCTACATGAAAAATACTACGGCATAGAAAGCAAAGACAACAGACTTGTATATATGATTTGTAGGTAACTGAAGATTTAGTTAACTGCAGGATAAAAACTTAGTAAAACATCACATTTCTGCGAACAAAAGAGGAAGAGCAAAGACTTCAGTGAACTTTTGCAGAAAAAGGTCATTAACACACAAGATAAACTATTTCAGCAAATTTTTATCTTAAAACATGAAGGTGTACACGTATAGAGAGGGTATAATATGTAAATACATGCACGCCTTTAACAGATTAATTGCAGCATGCACAAAAGCGCACCAAGTGAGTTTTCCTTACCTGTTCTGGTAACTGTAGTAAGTGGCATCTCGAGGGATTGTGCATAGCTGTTTGCCATAGCAACACAAAGTCTGTGGCGAGAACTCCAACTGCAAAAGGAATGGGTTGTCTTAGTACTTGTACACGTTTTCACTTGCTTTCCATGGGAAGCAAACGTGACCCAATGATCATTTCCACCTTATTCTCTGCACAAACCTCACAGCAGAACAAGTGTATGAAGTGCTACAGTCAAAAAAAAACATTCAGTGGGTTGTTATTCTCAAGCTAGCTCTTCTCCAAAGATGGAAAGCACATCAAAACAAGACAATGGAAATACATAGTCTCAATATACAGTGAAATAGAGAGCACTTCTTCTGCAATAACAAAACCACATGTGTTTAATTTGCAATAGCAAATGGGTTCACCCTAATAAAAATAAGCCTTCAGTTACTTTTCCACCCAACAACTTATATACAAATAGATGATTTAAGCACTAGATAGAATTAGAAGGTCCACTAAAACCTCAATATCAGATTACTCAGGATTGCTAAATCCAGGTAAACTTTCAACATTTTTGACACACTGTAACTGCTAGTAACTGCAACTGCTGTATTTCTCCCCATTCAATAAGGGGAAGCAAGCAGCAGACTGAAAATCTTTGTTTTCTTACCTTTCTTCCACAGCAATAACCAAGGCTCTGCATAACTGGGTCAATTTCTTGCTCAAACACCTCTGCCAGTTTGGAACAGTACTTGTATACCCGGGATGTTTTGCGGTTGTACAGCCAGGCATTATTGAACATGAGCCAGATGTCATCTACATATTGCCACGGCTCCTGATACTGTCCCGTGTCTAGCTTCCTCTTGATAGTAGAAAGGTCCATGGGGTTCTTCACTATGTCAAAATAATCCTGCAAGAATATGCAGTGCATCAAAACACTACTACAAAACTGCGTTGTGACATGACAGCCTGTGCATTCTCAGCATATAAATGCCTCTGCAGTACATCAAGAAAAACCGGTTCCTCCCTGGCTTCATTTTCAAACTGCTCGTGACATACAATGAAGTCTCCAAGTAATACCATATCACTCCCCAGTGCTTCCTTTTCATTATTCCTTTATTTCTCGGGCTCTATTGCTCTTCCACTCCTGATGAAATAAAGGCACTCTAATTTTAGTCAGCAAAACAAGTATTACAAAAAGTAGGAAGTAGCAACGTTTTTCCAGCCACTCTGCGCTGAGGATATACACATTAACAGAAAGCAACTGTTTTTAGCAAACCAGACAACCTAATAAACAAAAATAACTAACTTTGTTAGATGATAAAAGATATTACGTCTCCTCTAAATAATGCCCTTTTCTAACCCCCTTCATCAGTTATAAGACCACCTCTCCTATATAGAAGTCCTCAGAATATGACAAGCAATTGAGAGCTTGTTAAAGAATATTAGCAACATTTATGCCTGCCTATAAATACATCAGGCCTTGAGTTTTTGCAGTCTCTATACCAAAAAAATCCCATACCAAAACAAAAAAAACACCTTTCAGACAAAAAAGTTGTCTAAAGCACCTAATCAGGACTTTATGTATACATATTTGTGTATGAATAGTAAACTTGCGTAGTCAGTGTTTAAAACACAGATCATTGAAGGACAGTAATGTCTTCTGAAGACAATTCGAAAACAAGCAGAAAATTCAACCAGAACAAAAGCTTGAATAGTCTCCTCCCTGCTCATAACAGATGAATAATTATTGAGGGAGGGGTTTTTTTAAGTGGTCTTGGCTGAATATGTGGGGAAATTAAGCAGATCAAGTTTTATATATGATGAGGAACACCTACAAAATTCAGCAATAAAAGCATCACAACATGACGCAACATCCATAAAATGGCCACACACCGCAGGGGATCTGTTGGTAATCACTTCAATGTATGGTATACCTACTTATTTATCAAAAGGAACACAGAACCAAACAAACTTTCGAAGAAACAAACTTTCCTAGTCCAGACATAGTATGTTCCACTGCATAAGCTAAATCTCTTCAAATGCATCAGTATAAAAATGTTAACAAGGCAGAATAAAGCTGTACTCAAACAGGTATGCCATAACATAGGTGTTTCAGATTAAAGACAGTAAAGTATCTTGCTAAGACACTCACAGGAATTCCAAGTAGTTGGGGATCCACAGGCTGTCGAAATGGAAGAGACTCTGGATCCTGACGGTAAAGTGCCTCCAGCGTTGGCATAAGCGCCTGCCGCAACTCTTCCGGCTTGAAAACTTTTGAAAAACAATCAACATTAGGAAGATAGCAGAAACAGCTGTAAGGAAGAAATCTGCTGGAAAATATGAGGTCTGTGGAAAAAGACTACAGACAACGGGTTTAAGTTACTCAGCATGGCTTGTTTATCCTCTGCAACACTGAGTTCTGAGGAGGGTATTTAAAGGATCATCAAGGAGGTGGCCAAAATATTTAAAAGAATTTTGTTTTTATCATAGGGAAGACACTGATAAATTTACTAAAGCCAGTTTGCATTCCAAATGCAGGTCTTCTCTAAGTTTGCAAAAAAACCTTGTCTAGAGGATCTGTAACAGAAGTATTTCGAATCTCCACTGTACTGAATTTTACTAAGGCTTAATGAATAATACTAAAGAACTCATCCTAAGCCAATTACAAGCACATGTATTATTAGACATTTTTATCCAAAAGCCACAAAGAACAATCCATATAAGCCTACTGAGTACCAATGAAGAAAGCTTGGGGTTTTTTCCCCTGAAGACTTTCTAGGCAGATGCAGTGAGTTTCAGTCAAAACAGCATTCCTCCTTACTTTTTTTCTTAGACTGCCCAGCTGCTGGAGAAGACTGAGTAGCTGGAGTAGTAGGTCTCTCTTCCCCCTCTGGTATTTCAGTCTTCACTTCAGATTTCTTCTCTTCTTGCTCCATTGCATCTGGTTTACATTCCTCCACGACTGGTTCTGCTTTAACCTGGAAAGTAGTTTGGAGCCTGTCACTTTGTCTCCTGTCAGGTCACCCATCCACATTTCTGTCCTTTAAACCTATCTGTTATCCTGCCCACCACTCATTCCTAGGATTATGAGTATCTACTTTGTAGTCAAAACTTGCCTAAACCTCTAGCAGATGTGCTAGAATGCACCTTTATACACTGCATTAGTAGCAATGATGAGCTGCAAGCATACATACAAGTACTCATCCAGGTCTTCAGGCAGGTGTGAGTCTCTCCCACACAGGGGCTCCCAGGGTGATCCTGCTGGCAGCCACACTCCTAGCTGTCCTCAGTGACAGGTTGTCAGAGCCCAGTAAAGCAGCCCATCACATAAACATCCACTATTCTAACACTCCACATCTGCCAGTAACACCTGAAGGACTGATCTGAGTTCCCTCTTATATCAGCATTTACCAAAAAGCCTCACAGCTGCAACCACATTATGATGGTCCTTCTTGTGGTCACTGGCTTCTACCACCATTTCACCACAAAATAGAGACCCTCCCTTAGGAAGCTGGGAGGGGAAGACTTCAATCAAAACAGCAGCAGCAGGTAGCATCTATAGCTCTCATTGAGCTCTGGAAAGAATGGCTTACATGGATATAGAAAAATATCTGGCAGTACTAAAGACACTCTATCCAACAACTGGATGACAATCTCACCTCAGGTTTCTCCTCCATTTGCAGCTCCATTTGTTCTGGTTCCCCTTCCTCTGTAATATCCATTTTCACTTCCTGCAAAGGTGGCTGCTGCTGCTCTGGAACGGTCTGCTGAGAGTTCACCTCTGTGCTGCTGGTGGATGGGGGGTTGGATACCTGCCCATCAATGCTTACAGCTGGCTGTGAAAGCTGAGGGAACAAAACACATATTACAAACAGGCTTCTAATGAACTTATTTTTTTTTCCTCTAATCTACCTTTCACCTACACTATATTTCCACCAATTTTAAATGCACTCTGGTCTTTCTACTTGCTTCACCTGAAGAACACACTGCTGCATAACTCCAATTACAGAAAAAAATACAGCAGAAACTTGCACTGGAAGGCTTAGTATACAGAAAATTACACACTGTTTCCCTATTGTACACCACCACTATGCATACACAGCCATAACTAAAGACCTCATCCACGTTTCACAGTGAATTAAAAAAAAATATCCTGAAAAATACTTCCTCTCTGGAAACATCAGATGATCTATAGACTTGGCTTGATGCAAAAACGTTACTTCCTAAATGCAAAAGAACTTATTTTGACATTAAACACGACACGAACTAACTCCATTATCACAGACTTGCAGAAAAATAAAAGACTAACTGAAAATTAAACGTTATAGTTAAACGTTAATGTTATTTGCAGGGAAAGAACAATTAAAGTATTTCCTTACAGGTGTTGTGGGGTGCTGAGGCTGCAGTGGTGCTGTTGGCGTGGGAACAGATGCAGTCGTGCTCTGCTGTGACAAGGGCTGCTGCTGTTGCTCTGCAGAAGGGGTAACTGGAACCGGAGGCTGGACTTGTGGAGGCGTAGGAGTCTGCCTTTGAGGAGGGTGCATAGTTTGTGACTGTGGTCCAGGTGGCATTGCCTGAGGAGTAGGCGTGGGTGTAGTAGTGGCAGCTGCTGCTGCCTGCTGTTGCTGTGATCCCAAGCCTGGGGGTGTGTGGTGAGGTGTTGGGGTTCGGCTAGGTACTGGAGAAGGGGAATTTCGGTGCATGGGAGGCTGTGGAAGAGGTGGGCAGTGAATGTGGCTCCCTTGAGGACCTGGAGCCATTGCAGGAGAATTCACAGGACAGGAAGCACTGGTCATTTGTGCCTGTGAAAAAACAAGTACGCATTTGCAATGATTTGAAATAGAAAAGAGAGATAAATTACTGTCAAATGGCTGCTTTCCCACAGTTACTGGCATACTCTTAAAAATGTGACAAACTAACTGTTTAGAACTGTTTCAAAAGGAGAAAAGGTCTATCCGATTTCTTTTGCTCCAAATGAATATAAAGCTGCTATATAATTTATTCAGCTCTAAAAGAGACGTTTCACTAGAATAACTTATACTTGTTGATATATATAAAGAATGGCACACCTACACTCCCCAGTTCACAAAACATTTATTTCTAAAACTGCAGATTTGTACCTTCTGAATATGGGACAATGCACCTCAGTGAAAAATAGCATTCACATACACTCAGTGTGCCCATGCCCCCACCCCCAAGACTAGAAATGGAATTTATCATCAGAAATAAGTACACAGAAAATGGTACAGTTACAGTACCATTATGATATTACAAAAGAAAAAAAGAAGTACTGGTCAAGGAAAAAAAAGCTGTCACTCCACAATAATCTTGCCTGCAAACTAGGAAGAAGCATCAACGAGAAGCAAACTGACGTTCCCTACTTCTTCCTGGCCTGAAAGGTTCTTGCTGAAAAGGGAGACGGAAAGGACAGAAAGGAAACTGCTAGACTGTAAGTTCAGATCTTTAGTAGTGATAACCCTCCTATCCCCCAAAGCCAGCAACATACATTGGTCCTGGACAGACATGCCTTTTTATGATATGTCCTACCATCTCTTAATTTCTCAGGCTCTGCCCCTTCGCTATTCAGCAAGAAAGTCTTAACTACTGCATGCTGAGTAACCTTCTTCTCTATTCCACAAAAACAAACTTAAAAACTTCTCTGTCACACTCAAACTTAAGCCTGAGAACAAGCCAACAATGTTTAACACTTGCCATTCGTAGTGCTACATCAGGAAAAATGCAGAGTCCCAAGAAATTAATTTGACTGACTATAATTCCAGAAGCATCGAGAAAACAAGTTGTTCTCCATTACTACAAACTGAACAATGCAACCAGTATATGACAGAGCCCACTGACACTACTTCCAGAAATCAGAAACTCACTTGAGAAATTGGTGTCTGATTGCCAGGCTGAGTCATAGGCATGCTCGCTGTGTTCATTCCCGTGGAAGAAGCAGGGAACTGGGTCTGTTGTAGAAACTGATTCTGACCAGAAGGCTGTCCAACTCCTGGTTGCTGCATGCGTGAAGGAAATCCCATCTGTTGGAAAAGAAAGGAACTCTTTTCACACAACGGGCATAACGTTTTACAAATAAAAGCATTCTGCTGTTGAAATTGATCCTTTCTGCTTATCTGTAGGATGCAATATCAACAAGATCAAAAGCCTGCATATAGCTTCTCACAAAAGACAGAAATTATGATGATTTCCTAAGGAATATTATATTGATTTCAGATTGGGACTGTGACTTAAGATTTATTTTTGTTCCTTTTTTTTAAGGAGGCAACTGCACAAAAAGCCACTTAAACTTTTTTTTTTAAGGCAATTTTTACCACCAAGATCTAAAGGTCTATCGTAGACCAGACAAATCTTTCAGTGGAGATGTAAAAGGAGGAATCAAAGAGCCAAGAGAATGAAGAAATAGTGCTTGATTTTTTTTTAACATTTCTTTTATGCATTTATTTATTTTAAGGAAACCACAGCCAAGAGAAGCAAAGCTGTGAGCTCAGCACCCTGGGATGAAACACACACTGACCTGGTTCATGGCCCCAGCCTGGCTTAGCTGTCCAGGGTGCTGAAGAGGAGGGGCTTGCCGGGGTCCCATCGGTGACAGCTGCATGTTCATCTGGCCAAACTGATTCATTCCTGTGCATTTGTGCCAAAAAAACACTTATAAACAAAGGCCTGAATTCTCCTTTGGGCATCATTCAACTTTCAGAGAAGAAATGCCGTCAGGTTCTTCCAAATTTTGTTTTCTTGCAACCAGTTTCCAAGCATGCAATACTACGAAGCAAATACCTCCTTCTAACAACCAGTTACATGGAGTAATTTTAAATATAATGTGTCCAAGCTACTACACTCCTTCAGAACACAGACAAGTCTGGTTTTCCCCAAAAGACTTCTTTCCACTGTTATCAAAGCTCTGAAGTTTGAGAACTACTGGAGTACAGGACAAAACCAGAAGCGTGACATCTACTGCTGAAGATCACCTTTCTACAGAAAGCGGCATTATCTTAATCACATATTAGAAAATAATTTTATTGAATCTCAATCTCTATCTTCACTTTCTTAAGTACTCTGTATGTTGGCTACAATGCTTCTTGACTACGTAACAAAGATTCTGCCTCTTCCTTCTGTGCAGTAATTCTCACCGTCTTCTCTCTGTCGCCAACACGTCCTCAGCTAAGTTGGTCAGACCTACAATGTTTGGCTGACCCCACCATCCTATGTTCTTTACTTAACAAAGCAAGCAGATAATGTACAGCTCTTAAATTCACAAGATCACAAAATGCTGTAAGACATATACAGTTTTATAATATATAGTATACAGAGTTATGTAAGTATCCTACAGTATAGATAGGTATTATCTTAATCAAATAGGAAAACTGAAGGCCTATGACACCTCAGCAAGAGCTGCCCAATTCCAAGATTCCTTCAAAATCAGAGTAGTGAATTTTTTTTCAAATATTTACCCGGCTGTGCCTGCATGCGATTCATCATCTGGTTTGGCACATTGGCACGTATCAGGGTTGGGTCAGGAAGAGGACCATCTGGAAAAAAAGATACTGGAATAAGATTATGACATTTAGAAGACCACCAGGCTTCATCCACCAAACATTTTAGTGTGAATTACACACTAAAACCCATGTACAGAGTTCAGTAAATCTAAAGACTCTTGAAGAGTCCTCAGTGTGAAGCAAAACAAAAAACTTGCTTGAAAATATAAGCATGTCTCATTGACAGAAATATCCTCTGACTTAAGAGTCAGCTTTCAGAAATTAAGGACAATTTCGGAGTATTTTATTGAGGTACAACAACAAACTCAGTAGCTCACAAACACTGAGGCCACAAGAACTTCTACAGACCACTCTACACTGTTACTGCACCTCTAGATTTAAAACACTGAAAACTGTACAATTCAACACGGTATTTATCAAAGGTCTGAGAACTACTGGAGTTAATGATGAAGAACTGACAGTGTCACATCTACTGCTGAAGATCAACTTTCTACAGAAGTTACAGCAAATAAAGTCACAGTATCAATCTCTAATAATCCTTCTTGGATCTTGTTAATGCATCTCAGTAAATCCTGTTCTGACTTCAAACATTAAAAATGCCAGAATTTGATTTACTAAAATACATTCAAATTTAAGCAGGGAGAACTCAGTTGAAGATTCTTGTAGCTTATGCCTGGAGCTACTGGATCTCTCCAGTGTTAGGGGAAAAAAAAGGAAGCTTCTTGTCTCCTCAGCTAATTCAAAATTTTGACCCTATCTTCTTAGACAACTTATAACAGTGTCACTGACAGCTATACATCTATTTCCATAAGGTGTCTTAAGAACTCAACATTCTTAACTGTAAAGTATATAAGAATATGCAAGAGTGACAGAATCAAGCAGAAAAATAATTTTCTTCTGAGAAGGAAGCTACTGGGAGAGTCATTTGGGAGGGGAAGGGCAGTGCTCTAGAACGTGTGTTTGCAGAACTGCTGCTCTTAGTTTTAAGAAAGACTACTTCAGCCTCCAGAGCTGTCAGTCCAGAATCACAGAGAAAAGAAAAAGTCATCTTAAAGCAGGCTGTGGCTTAAATAGTTAAAGATACTAGTTATCTTTCACAGCTAAATCAGAGCATGGAATGCAATTTTATCTAGAAACGTACAGTTTAAAATCCTGTATTTCAATTATTTACAGGACTTAACTGGAAATACAAGATTACGGTGTCAGCAGATGCCTCTCTCCAATTTATAACTAGAAATATCACCCACAATAGTTTGTGTCATCTGCTTTTATCTGTTGCCCAAATAAAAATACAATACAATGTCTTGTCCCTTCCTAATGTCAGAAAGGGACATTATACTCTTTAGCAGCATGACGGTTTCGATCGTTAACTCCTCCCCAAAGCCAATTTTATTCTACTATACAAATGCATGGCTAGCAGGGAATCTAATAATAATAATAACAACAACAACAACAACAACAATCTGTTTAGCATTAGGAAGGTCAACTCAAGTAAGAGAACTGCTGTGAAACAGAAGACAGCTGCATAGGAAAATAAGTGAAATCTGCTTTTCATTGCATGTTGGGAAGGCCATTTGTCCACAAAAACAAACGTGGCACAGAACAAACACAGAACTTTCAAAGGCACTCCTAAGCACTCCAATCATCAAACTCCCTGCTTAGCAACAACAGTAGTGATGATCACTTTAAGCATCCCACAACTACATATTATGAAAATATATTTCCCTTATAGTAACTGAAGTTATCTTCAAATCAACGAATTCTAGAGGTGAATCTCTAACAAGACTGAAGTTCTACAATGTTAAAGACACAACTTAGTCTCCATTTCCTCCAACCTCAAAGTGTAAAGGTTTATAATAATTCAACTTGCTCAGAAGACTAAGTGCTTCCAGATAATCTATGGTCATTAATTAACACATAAGCAAAGCAAAGATTTGGCAAGTCCTTCTGAACAAAGAGGAAAACGTTCTATTTAACTCTGAGCAAGACAGATAACTGTGAAACAAGAAGGGCAAAATGGTCACCAGTCTACCAAAATGACAGTAAAAGGATTCCCCTGCACCAGGTAGTCAATAACCCAACCATCCTTACTTGCAGACATCCCTGGTTGGGGCTGGCCCATGTTAGGCCCTTGATTCATGGGAGCCTGTGGCATGCCCGGAGCATTTGGGATCATGTTTTGCTTCTGCAGCCTGGTTCTTCGTTTCTCCTCCAGCTCCTTCTGAATCTTATAGATCTTCTCCGCTAGCAAGTGATAGTACTCTGCCTGTTGGGGAGCAATACAAGTCAGGAAAGGAGATGACACATACATAAAGTAAAGACAACAGATCACAATGATTCAAGCTTGCAAAAGAGCCTTCCACACACATTTTGGCTTGGGAGTGGGTGGCTCTCCCTTTGCAGGGGCTCCTGAGCAGACAGTGGGGCAAAAAGGGGCACTGCTGGCAACCATTAGGCCAACATCGGGCATTTTTCTTCACTGTGGTTCTCCCAAAGTAGTGTTGAATGCAAGAAGAACTTCATGCTGCCTTCAGGGAACACTCAGAAGTCTCAGACACAGCACATCCTGACAGGCACCACCCTGACTCCTGGTATACCCAGGCTGAAGCAGCCTGCAGCTGGCCAATTCCTAGACCCCCATCCAGCAGCCCCTGAACACACACTTCCTCAGCCTGCAACTCTCATCTGTGCTTCCACTCCTCTTCCTTCCCAGTCACTATGGGATCAAGGCAGAGATATACATGACTTGACAACAGAGGACGCCATCTCACCCTGCTATTTGCCGATTCATACATATCCCCTTCCACTTTCCGAGCGTACGCCACCAGATTCTCCATACGCCGGTCCTTCAGTGCTGCAGGGTCAGGAGTGGGAAATATGGCTTGGACTCTGAAAAAAAACATGCAAGTCATTAGGATGTCCCCAGACTGGGACATCTGCACTAACCCCTGTGATCTGAACACAAAGCAGCAAGCAAATCTTTCAATGACTGTGCACTGCTACTGCTCCCAGGGCACATTGCCCCTATGTTGATGGCTTGAGTAGGGAGTAGGACACTTCCAGTACAACAGTTCCAAAACAGCAGATACAGCTCTATCTTTCAGGCTTTTGCTTTCCCGTCTCATGCATCCTGACAAAACTTGCTCTCTGGCCCCATAGTTTTGGAATTCAGCCTTCCTCCATCCCTCCATCCCTCCCCCTGCACCTCAGGGGCAGCAACTCACTCAACCAGAGTTTGTTTTGATTATTAGCTACTCACAATTTATGAACAAGGTGGTTTCGGAGATCCTGAGTAATGTCTTCATGCCACTGCTTTCGAATTCCAGTACTGGATGGTTGAGCTGTTGGCATGGCTCCCAAACTGGCAACATTGGCGCTTTCACTCATCATGGGGCTTCAAAAACAGAGCAAGAATTGAGGGCAAAAGTCTAGCCCAAGCTTAGTCATCTTACAGTCATAGCCTCTTTTAGAATAATGTCAGGACAAAGTGCTAGTTCAGCCATTCCCTAATCAATGGACAAACTCTGCAGAAATAGCTGCACAGACACCAAAACAACGCCGTGAAAGTACATGCTGTCCTACCCAAGGATTTGGAAAACTGCAACAAAAGCTACAAAATCCAAAGGGAGAGATAGCCATCAATGGCATTTACCCCACTGTTTATGCAAGAAGTGCCATGAGATCAAAACAAAATCACTGGGGCGCAAAGAATAATTCAACTTACTTTTGAGAATTCATGGTTGAATGTAACATTGAGTCAGGCAGCAGATTAGGGGTTTGAACCCCTACTCCTCCATTCACTCCCATTGGATTTGCACCTAGAAAAAAAAGTATTCTTAAATGAACAGCCTATCTACTGTGCAAAATCAGTAACTACTCAGCAGTAACAAGGGGTCTAGACTTTCAAATACTTTGACTTTTGAGAAGGGAGTTTAATTGCCCATTGTTGTCTTTACCCTTACTTTTACAAACTTAGAAACACTGGTGACCTGGAAGTGAAGCATCACACCACATTACTCCTCAGGACATCTTCCTGGACTTCTGAACAAGCAAGCAATTTCTATTCGCTGCAAACGTTATGTAACAGAGTCCTTTTCTATAAGTCCCTAACTGAAGATCAGTATTACCAACCAGTACTGGCTTTCTGTTCAGAAGTGGTTGGGTTTGGTGTTTTTTTGGCATTCAGGGGCCTCAAAAAAAAAAGATCAGCTACCACCTACATCTGGTAAGGTCCCCTCTCACCCACTCTGTACTTAAGGATCCAGCAACTAACTCCAATGTTTGTACTTTGCAGGAGAAAGCTCTAGTAATGTGTCACATATCAAAATCTGCCTTTCTGAGTCTGGAACTTCTGAATAGATCATTCTGTGAGACAGAGAGTAGCATGAAAGCCATTACCAAGCATCACAAGTATTTAGGACATCTGAATTCCACAGAATCTGTATCTCAAGCAAAATTAGACACAGCATACAAAAGAAATCCACTGAAATTAAGTATACCAAGCCTAATACATACCTCTAATATCACAAGCAAGTATTTAATGGGCTTTTCATAAAGCAGCCTCAAGCCTTCCTTCCCCTAGTCACTTCCTTCTCCTTTCCAAATTCACTTTGCCATCTGAGAGCTGGTACAGAAGACAACTGTCAACCTTAGCCTTAACCCTCCCTTTTCGGCTGCCCAAACCAACCATTTGACCTACTTATGACTGCATCTTGTCACACTGCAGTCCTCTCCAAATCCTGCTGCTTCTCCTAAACTAGTCCTGTTGTCATGAAGGTACAACTTGGTAATTCCTATCCTACCTGTTGCAATTCCCTCCTTAGCCACCTGCTCCTAAACAACAGTCAAAACTTTACACTCTCCATGCTTGTCAGTTCCACATTAAGCTTTAGATCTTCACTCTCCAAGAGCTTTTCCACCCTAGCTCATTGGATTTTCTTACTGGTGCTACAAGGAGTGCCCAAAAAGAATACACAGGCTAAATTCTGTGTCTATAAATAAAAAACAACCCAGAGAACCATTTTGCTTCAGAAAAAAACGGATGACACATTCCTTTCAAGGTACTCGCTGTAAGATTTTGATGCTTCTAGAAATTAAAATCTACTTGTTTTAAGACTAAGCTCTCAGAACCCTTCCCCAACTCCCCTCTCCTTTTTTTAAAAATACTTTACACACTGGGAGGCAAAGTTTTAGCGGTATACAAACTGCATGCAACTTGTGAGGACCAGTCATCTCATTAACAAGTCTACTCTACCCAACAACCTTTTCCTTAGTAACTTAGGAGTAGCATGTCCTTCGGTGCAGAAACAGCACATCAGAGTGCAGCTTGCAACCAACTGCTACTTTCCTCTGCAATCCCTGAGGTCCTTCCCCCTGGAACTCCTGTGTACACACAGCACTTATGCCATACACAGGCTTGTCATGGGGCGTATAGGCAGGATCACTGCAAACCCATACAAGCTTGTGATAAATCTCTACCAGCTTATATTTCCTCATTTCCATTTAAAAAAGAAAACAAAACCCCACATCTACTCATGCAACTCAAGCAAAGAGCTGGGGGTGATGAAAATTCCTGTGATGTAATATCAAACTATCAAAATTAGAATTAATGGCTAAAGGTTACTTCATTTGACACCAGTGATAGACAGGTTAGAATCAATTGCACTTCAAAATAAAATTCTTACGTAGTCTTTTGTGATTTTGCAATAAGCCACCCAGACTACTTACAGTTACGCGAGTCCGCATGACAAGATTCAGAGAGAGAGTGTTATTTACTACTTTTCATTTTTAAAACAAACATTACGTATCTGAGATAGAACTGTAATATGGTGCAGCCCAAGTAATAACGAAGTACAATTGAATACAGGCAGTCCAATGCATGCATTACCAATTAACAACTTCTAAGAGGCCTGAAACTTGCTTTACAGTACAATTATAAAGCTGAAAAAAATTAAATAAAATACTTTGGAAAACTAGTTCTGAAAAAATTTTACCATTTTTCCAAAGAAAATACTTTTCCCAGATAGTGCATCTGGGTCCTCTAATGTTCCACTGAGTAGCTTAGTAGCTCAAGTCTAAAATATTGCAAAGCCATACCTCTTGCAAAGTAACTAGCAGTATTAAGCTGGTAGGTTAAGAAAAATTGCATTAGGTATAGCACAGGTAAACTGCCTGGAGTTCGTATCTGAACACTAACAGATAAACTTACTCATAGGATTCATTGGGCGCAGACCCTGGGGTGACTGGCCTTGTTGCTGATTCTTCACTTGAGCCTGGGGCTGTGTCTGCATCTGGTTCCCTTGATAGGTCAGTCCAAGGGCTGCGTAGGCTCTCTCAATGGAGCTGGGGTCTATCTGGCTGGTAGTGTTTATGCTGGGCGTTGTCTGCTGCCCCACACCCACGGAGCCAGTATTTGCAAGTCCTACTGTGGCTCCGCCCAGCAGCGCTGCAAGAGAGGTACCAAGTTAATAAGGACACCAGGAAGTAGCCAAAGAGGTCCAAGAAAATAGGGAA